GAGCACTGGCTGCCCGTTTGGAGGGGTTCTGTTGGCCAGTTTACTTGTGAGGACAGCACTGGTCTGTGTTGAGCAAAGTAACCTCCGAGCATTAGCTTTGGATAAGGTGCAGGGGACAATATAAAGAAGCAATTCCGTTTAGTGAATCTGTGCCCTTTCCACTGATTGAAATGGTCTCGAAGGAGGCTGCAGATAATTGGTTTTGCAGAAGGTGGACACAAGGCCACAGCAGGTGAAATGATACAGGATGGACTGAGGAGGTCCCACCTGCTGTTCCGCTGGTCCTGGAGCCAGGTCTTTCCGGAGTTTCTTCCTCCCTGACTTTATTCTGCATCCTTTGGTCCCTTTCGGTTCTCGCTGCGACTGGCTTTGTAGTTCTGGTCCAGAGCACCAGAAGACTTCTGTGAAGACTCACTGACATTCCGTGCACAGCTGCCTGCGCAGGGCAGGGAAGGGTGCGTGGGCGCAGCTGCAGCCGGGTCACCCTCCCCCACCTTTCTTCCCTAAACAGCTCCCACGGGGTTTATGAGTTCCTTCAGGGGAAAGCAGAGCAATCGACATCAGAATGCCCTGTTTCCTGCCAGGGGGAAGTCAAAGAGTTTATAGGATGCCATTCCCAGGCTTAAGGCATTGATTGCCATGTCATATATTTGGGCTGGCTGCTGCTGGGGTGCCGCCCGCCAGGCTGTCCCTCCAGCCAGGGGCCTGCAGTGTGCTGGACGAGACAGAGCCCTGGGAGGGCTGTGCTATGTTTTTAAATTTTCATTTTATTTTTTAGTTGTAGTTGGATAAAATACCTTTATTTTACCTGTTTATGTTTATGTGGTGCTGAGGATCGAACCCAGGGCCTTGCACGCGCTAGGAGAGTGCACTACTGCTGAGCCATAACCCCAGCCCTGTGCTGTGTGAGTTTCTGATTTTCAAAACTTTGGATCCCTCAGAAACGTTACCCTTCTTGTCTTAGGGAGGATGGAAGAAGGAGCAGGGCTCAGTGGTGGCTGGCGTGTGGGCTGTCCCTCTTGCTGGTCAGGGAAGTGTCTGCCCCCACAACACACTGCCCTGGAAGGCCCGGAGGGGCGGGGTTCTGGGGGAGGCCGCCTCCCTTGGGAGATGGAGGTGGGAGGGTGTGAGGTGTGTGGTGGCAGGAGTCAGAGCAGGGACAGCCAGGTGGGGAGCAAGGGGACGAGGCCAGCAGGCAGAAAGCCTGGACGGGTGTCTCCCCTGAGGGCCTGACTCCAAAGGGAGGGTGAGGTGACAGTGGGCAGGGCCTGCCCATGGGGTTTTGTCAGAGGCTCAGCAGCCCCTGTGAGGGCAGAGGGCGGGTGGGCATGGGAGGACTCACTGGGAAGGCCTGGCCACTGCCTCCCCTCCACTGGAGAGCACCACCAACTTCCCCCTGTCTCCAAAGCTGGAAGCCACCCGGTCCACCGGGTCCTCTGTCCCCACAGGGGCAGTCTTGGTGTCCTTGAGTCTCCCTGGGGTGCCTGAGCAATCTCTCCTGTACCGTCCCCCCAAGCCCAAGTCGTCCTGTGGCTCCAGGGGCTGGTTCTAGGGGCGTCCTCTGAACTGGCAGGCGCCCTGCGTGTGCTCCCCCCGCCCCAGGCTCCAAAGCCACACAGTGGGGTGTTGCCCTGGTTCCGCCTGCGTGCCCAGGGCCCCTTCTCTCTGGGCCGCCCTTTCCTCAGAGCTCTTCCGTGAGGCCTTCCTGGGAGCCTCCTTGCTGTGCCCACCCCCCCCACAGCTGCCACCTGCCCAACTGCTGTGGTGTAAGTATTGGACTTTAGGGCAAAACCCTGATCCCATTGGGCTGGGGCTGTAGCTTAGTGGTAGAGCACTTGCCTAGTACGTGGGAGGCAGTGGGTTCAATCCTCAGCACCACATAAAAATAAATAAATAAGATAAAGGTGTTGTGTCCATCTACAACTAAAAATATTAAAAACAACAACAACAACAACAACCCTGATCCCATAAGAAGGTTCTCTGCTTCTCTGAAGAGCAGGTGTAGCGGGGCCAGGCGTTGACTGTGTGGCTTGGGCAGATCCCGCCACCTGAACTTGGCCCTGATACCCTCATGGCCAGCCTCGGTGTCCTAGGAGCCTGAGCGGGAACCTGGGAAGCTGTCCTCGGCCCAGGGATGGGGGCACTCTGCTGCTGTGTCCTGCAGCTGGTCCCCAGGGGAGCTGGTAGACAGACCTCAAACCCAGGTCACGGGGAAGTGTAAACGAAGTTCTGGGGACAGGGGGAGGAGGAGAGGGAGCCATGGATTCTGGCCCAGAGGAGCAGCCATGTCTGTATTCCGTGCCCCAGGAAAGCTCCCCACTGATGGATGGAGCAGAAAGCAGAGAGGAGACCCCAGGTGATGCGGGGGTTGTCAGCTAACAGGCGTCTGGCTGGGGCAGGGGTGACTCCTGCTAAGTCACAGCCACAGAGTGTGCTCAGTTCACCTGGGGCTCTGGGGTCTGGATCTGGGAGCTTCTGGACAGGAGGACACCTGGAATCGCCGTCACCTACTCACACGCCTCCTCTCCCAAGTGACATTATATTCTGGGGCCTGGAGTTCCTGTCCATGGGATATGAAGCGGCGGTGAGGCTAGTCCTGCGGTCAAGGAGCCTCGGGTTTGCTTAGGGAGGGAGGAGGGGGTGAGTGAGGTACTTGGAGAGGCAGCTTTCAATTGCGTTCTCCCACAGAAGCCGAAGTTCATTATTTCCCCTGGAGCACAGCATGAAGATTAATCAAATCAAGTCCAGGTTAAGACGTATATGAAGTCTGTGATCAGCATCTAAAAATTAGTAATTACGAGGGCTTGGGGTGTAGCTCAGTGGTAGAGCTCTTCCTTAGCCAGCATCAGCCCCCAGGTTTGACCTTCAACACTGGAAAAAAAAAAAAAAAGCATTATGAGCAGTTAATTCCAATTTCAAAGAGGATTCTGGAACTTATTAACATCTACTATATTTAATTGCCCTAAATTGTTTATTCATTTCATCCCAAAGTAGTTCTTTTTATCCTCATTTCACAGAGGGGGAAATACAGGTTCAGAGGGGTTAGGTAACTTGCCCAAAGTCACACACTTTGAGAGAAATATCCATGGATCCAACTTTCGGAGATTTTATTTCAAAGATATGCTTTCATCCTCATAGCAGACAGACAATGACCACTTTGCACAGCCCAAGTGAAAAGATTTTTGAAGTTGGTTAAGTCCAGCGATACTAAATTTATTATCTTATGCGTATGGGACTAGACCCTCTCAGTGAGCCCTTCTGGTTTGATCTAACTGGACGTTGGGACAGAACTGCAGAGCAATGTGTCTCCAGCACATCACAGACCTCACTGGCCCTGTGCATGGGGCTGAGTCGACCACGCGTGCTCCTGGACCTTGGGAGGGGTATTAATGATCACCTGTGAGCTGAGTGGCACTGGGGCTGGGAGGGGCCAGGCCTGACCCAGGGAGAGAGATACAGGGAGGATATGATTTGATTGTTCATGAGCAAATCCACAAGCCAGGAGCCCCTGAGCACCCCGAGCCCAGCTGGTCTCAGGAAGTGAGTTCTAGCGCCTTCCGGAGCTCCATGCTGCTGGGGGCAGAGGGGGCCCTGGAAAGGGAGAGGAGACAGGAGTGGAGAGCCATCAGGGCCCAGATTTGAGCTGGGCACACGTGACTCTTCCGGCTCCCAGTCAGTGCCGGGGAGCCCTTTTGGACAAATGGATTTTTCTGTTTCTTGGGCAAACCTTTGCTATTCTACTCTTTAAAAACAAAGAAAAGGAAATAAAATCCATTCAAGGGAAGATGAGACTGTCTGCCTGAGTCCCTTGGGCTCATCCCCAGCGACAGCCCCGCCCAGCGATAGTGCAGGTGCCCCAGCCGTGCCAGGTGGAGACGGCCTGGCTGCTGGCTGCTGGCTGCTGGCTTGCTCCTCTGGCCTCTGCAGCTGCAGCAGGTGGCAGTCCTAGGATGCTCAGGGTTTCGTCGCTGGCTAGAGATGTGCTTTTAAATGTGGCTTTGCATGTACTGAGGTTTATTTTGTTGCAGCCCTGCTTTGGCAAAACTCATTAAGAAATAACCTGAGGTGATCCTTTTACTTACCAAAAGTTTAAACATGGTTAGAAAAGGAAACATCATTAAAAAAAAAAACCCCACACCACCACCTTTCTGAAATCACTAGCTTCATTGGAAGCAAAGACTCCCACACTTCCTCTTTGGATGTCCTGAAATTGTCCAAAGGTAAAGGAAGTTCTGGGGGCAGGACTCTACTGTTGATGAGCAAATAACTTGGGCCAGCCCCTTCATGTCACCCAGAGTGCTTTCTCCTGTGTAAAATGAGAGCTCCACCTGAGATGGAGGTGACCTAAAATGACAAATGTAACAAGAAAGGTCTCAGCACAAAGCGGTCCTGATGAATGCTAACCATGATCTGGATGATTACTTCAAATGTCCTCAGGTTTCTGTTACTGAAGAAAATAATAAAGACACGAGAACAATAGTGCTGTTATTTATTTATTTACATACAGTTCTGGGGATCAAACCTGAGCCCCACACATGTAGGCCAGCGCTCCGTCTGAGCTACACCCCCAAAGATTTGGGTTGTAAATGGCAGCACCAGGATCGTGGGCCACGACAGCCAATGAGAGGCACCCACATCTGCAGAGGTGCTGAAAGGTCTGGTTTTGACATCAGGGTGACACTGGCATCAAGGAGTCAGCTGAACAATGCTTCCTTGTCTTTGGTTTCTGGGAAGAGTTTGTCAAGCCCTGGTGTCAATGAGCCGACTTCAAGTCCCAGACTTTATCTCTTCATCTGTAAAATGAAGATGATACTTTGGTCATAAGGCTGCTGGGAGAAAATGTCATGGCACTTAATAGATAAGAAACATTTAAGTATTGGTCGTCTTGTTTTTCTATTCAATCTAGGGCCTTTCTCTCTCTAAATGTACATATATATAAAAGATACACATGTATAGCATATTTGTTGATATATAAATTGTATGCATGCCACACATGGTATATTATTTACAGTATACAGCATATACTGAAAAATAACGGCAGTGAATAGATAAGAGCGACATGAATAGAAGTTTTGATGCTCATCTGTGCTCACTTTGGATAGGAAGCTGTAATACTTAAGCTCTGTAATGGGGACCTTAGAGGCTCTGTCACGTGGTTCTGGGAATATGGTAGAACCTTCTTGGAATAATTGCAGGGTTTTCTTGGCTCCCAGCATAACAAAGAGGCAGCAGGACAAAATAGGGGCCATCGAGTTTTGATGTGTATGAATGCTTCTCGGGGGGGAAGCAAGATGGGAATTAGGTTTCTTACATGTCTTTCTTCCTGTGCCAAGATTGTACCATCAGCCAGGTGCACCGTGGCTCATGCCTGTCATCCCAGGGACTTGGGAGGTAAGGCAGGAGGATCGCAAGGTCAAGGCCAGCCTCAGCAATGAACTGAAATGCATTCTGCTGACATGTACAACTAAGTAGAACAAATAAAAAATATAATAATAATAAAAAGAAAAAAAAAGAGACCACCCTCAGTAACTTATCGAGACCCTGCCTCAAAATTAAAAATAAAATGAAAAAAGGGCTGGGCATGTGGCTCAGTGATAAAGTGTCCCCGCAAAAGTTTGTACCATTGAATGACATACCCAATACCAAGGTGCACCCGAATGTTAACACACCAATAGACACACACACACATAAACCCACCTGCTCACACTCAACCTCACACATGCTTAAACATACACACACCCCTTCCCCTTCCCTGACCTTCTGATGAATCAGCACTCAGCAGAGCTGACGCTGTACTGAACTAAATTTTCAGTTCTTACACAAGGTCTTCTTTTTCCTGCAGTTGCTAATTGCCTCTTCTTGTTGTTTAAATCTCTATGAACCTATCAATGATCCGTTTCTATATTCTAAGAGAAGCTGAAAAGCTCATTTTGCTGTGGGGGGACACGTCACAGAACCCGGGTTAACGGGCTTTCTGCTGGGGGACGTCCTTCCTAGAGCTCCAGCCTACGTGGAGGGGGGATTCCAGTGTCCAGTGTCTGCCTGTCCAGAAGCCCGAGTTTTGGGGAACAGGAACGGGAGGAAGGCACTCTTTCATTCAGGGTGTGGACTCGGAGTCCATTCCTGTCCTGTATCTCGTCAGCTTTGTCCAGATTCTCTTTGGTTTAGTTTGTCCTGGGAAGACCTCCAGGTTTCTGCAGGGACCAGGCGGAGTTGGGGGAGGGCAGGGCTCTCTCCTCTCCAGCCCCACCTTTCCCCTGTGGCCCTGACTTCCTGAGACTGCCCCAGCTAGGGTCTGGCTGAGGGACCTCTCAGGACCCCTGGGCTTTAGTTCTTACTCTCAAAGTCTCGCCTCGCCTCTCTGCTTTGCACCCTCTAGATTCCGCTGGCACGTTCACTGCAATGATCTTCTCTCTGGCCTCTTTGTCTCAGTGTGTTTACTGCTGTGTTTCCCTGCACTGTCCTTTCCGGGCAGATTGGGAGGGAGTGCGGAGAGAACACCTGTGTCTGTCCCCACCTCGGATCACTCTCCATCTTCCTTCAGGCTCCAAGGCAACCTAAAGATCTGATTTGCAGTTTGGTTTATAGGCACCATGGGGAGAGGATGACTTGGGCTGGATGTCCCAGCCATCCGGGTCACCTTTGTGACTTGAATCCACCTGGGCCAGCCTGCCCCATCTGGTTGAGTCTGCAGGTGCTAATGGGGTCCAGAGGGCCTGTGGCGGTGAAGCATGCTCCTGGGATTTGAGCTGACACAGGGCCGACAAGGTTGATTTGGTGAAAAAGACCCTCATCTGGACACTCCTGGGAGGCCCCTCAGCCAACCAGCTGCTTCCCACGCAGGGAGATCCAAGTAACTTTCCTACATCTTTTTGTTGTTGTTGTTGGGGGAGTAACCGGGCATTGAACCCAGGGTTGCTTACCCACTGAGCCCTTTTTTTGTATTTTATTTAGAGACAGGGTCTCACTGAGTTGCTTAGGGCTTCACTAAGTTGCTGAAGCTGGCTTTGAACTTGTGATCCTCCTATCTCAGCCTCCCTTCATGCCGCGCTCTTAAAATCAAGCAACCGCTTTACTCCAAACACCTCTGTCGGGTGGACTGCCAACAGCAGGATGGTCATCGCTGCCATCGCTGGCTCCGCAGCTCAGGGCTCTGTGTTGCCTGTTAAAAGCAATGCCTGATTTTCCCCCTGGGGTGTGTTTTCATGACCCTGTCCCTGTGCCATCTTGTCAGCCACTTCTGCTGCTCAGGTGGCCTCACTTCTTAGAGTGTGTCTGTTCCCTTGGAGCTTCATGCCTTTGGGCTGTCTGGTCCCTTTCTCACCTGCAAGCCTCAGAATTTTCCCTAAAATATCCTCGTTGTCCTTACTCACCTGTTCCAAGTACCAGCTCCTCTGGTGGCCTGAGGTCTTGCTGACTTCTTGCCCCGCTCAGTGGTAGCATGTATGCACCTGGCACTTTTGTCCCTTGTCACTTATGATCTGAGATTCTTATTTTTTCCAGTGAATGATTGAACTCAGCCAGAAGTCCATGTCACACGTGGACTGCCCAGTGCTGTGCCGGGCACTTCCACACACTGTCCAGTCTCCGTGACAACCCGCCTGTCCTCTAAGGGCCCATTCTGTAGCCAAGAACACTGAGGCCCGGGGAGAAAAGCACATGGCCTGGGCCAGGCTTCTGGGCGTTGGGTGAGGCTGTGCCGTGCTGTGGTCTCTGCTGGGCTGGGCAGGGCTCTGATCCTGCGATTGAAGGTGGCCCTGTACCTGGACTGGGAGGAGCAGGTTCTGCCTTGGAATGCAGGTCCTGGGGACAGGTGTCAAGGGTAGAAGAAGTCCTAGGGCAGCTCACAGAGGGCCAGGTCGAGTGGTGGGACCTGGGCACGGGGGAGATTGGCCGGGGAGGCCTCTCACAGGCGCTGTCTTCAGGGGTTCAGGGTTGGCCCTGAACCAGGCTCTTCTCTGTCTGGGCCTTCAGCTCCCTGTGGGGCCAGTGCGGATCCTGGCAGGCCGCGGGTCTGGTGTGCTTCTACCTCCGCCCTCCTGGCCTTCCCGGCCCCGCCCTTCCTCGCCGGGCAGGCTGGCCTTGTGGTCGGGTCCTGTCTGTGAGTCAGGCACTGGCCGTGGGTGTGGGAGGCTCCTGCTCTGCTTGGTGTGTCGGGAATGACAGCCAGGGCCCAGCAGTCAATGCCACCCTCCGTGCTCCTCCCCTCGAGCGCACCAGGGAGACTCTGTGGTCGTAAGGTCCGCGGGGAGCAGCCTGCACCTCTTCTGCCCCGGTTCACTTGGGGCACTATGGCCACACTGTTTGTAGAAGGCCGCAGGAGGGACTTCCATCTTTCTGAAGGTGAAAGTGTCCTCTGCTGTTGTCCTTTGGCTTGTGCATCCCCACCCTCCCTCCCTCCTCCTTTCTTCCAGTAAGATTCCTCCAGGCCTGTGCTTGCAGGGCTGGATCCACCCTCGCTAGATGGCTCCCAGGGTCCCCTCCCGGGCCCTGGCTTGGCTCTCCTCCCCTTTCCTACCTATCTGCCTCGGGCACTGGTGTGCTCTAGTGGACTCCTCTGGGCTCTGGGTGGCCATCTCTGTCAGGCGAGCCTTCAGGGCCTTGGCAGGTAGGTCTGCAGCCCTGACCATGCGCTTTCAGCCGGGGCCTGGATTCCAGGCTCCTTGGCAAGGATCCCAGGAGGAGCCCGTGTGCCTGACACTCTTCCAACAAGGATGCTTCAGAGCAGGAGACTGTTGTGATATTAATTGAATTGAGCATCCTGCATGTGTCCCCCCATGTGGCTGGGAGCCCCTCAGAGTGTCTGGAAGTAGGTGATAGATCAAGGAAACTGGCAGACAGCTGCAGCTGCTTCTGACGGGGCCTCTGGTCACAGCGCTGACCTCCTCCAGGCTCAGGAGCACTTTCTCTTTGTTGGGCTAATTCCTGGAGCAATCCTCCCAACAGCTCATTTCCCTGCTGTAAGCAGAGCTGGCTGAGGGGCCCTGGGGCAGGAATTATTGCCACAAGCAGGAAGTGGTTAATGGTTTCCGTTGGCTGTTAGTTGGGAGAAAAGAGGCTGAATTCCTTACAATACAGAGAAAATGACGGTGACCACTCCAGTTCCCTTCCCCCACGGGGTGGGGGTGGGGATAGGGGTTGCCAGAGCTCCTTGGGGCACCCTGGGTGACATCTTGAAACAGCTCTGCTCCCTGTTGGCACGAGGAGAAGGAGAATTTATTTATTGTTTCTTCTTGAGTTGATGAGACGCGTGAGACTTTGCCTGGCTGGAAGCAGCCCTCTAGCTGGCACAGGCCTCCCCTGACCCACACTGCAGTAGCCCAGGCACCCTGCACTGTTTGGCAAGTCAAAAGCTACTTTAAAAATGAAGAGTACAGCGGATAGGAAATACACACGGATGTAGAAGAACTGAATGATCTCACATATCTTCCTTTGTCCCGTGAAGAGCATTAATAAATTTTTTTCAAATGACTGTAATCTATTTGTAAAGCTCCATTAGGTATCAGTTTCAAAAAGGACCCTGTTAATGAGTTTTAAAAGTGTAGTTACTATAATCAAGTTAGTCTTGATTATAACTTAATAAAAAGAGAAAAAATTATATCAGACTGAGCCCCCCACCAAAGTCTTCATTATTTAAAAATTAAATACTCAAAGCCGGGTGTCCACACACCTGTAGTCCCACACTTGGGAGGCTAGGGCAGGAGGATCACAAGTTCAAAGCCAGCCTCTGCAACTTAGCAAGACTCTAATGTGGCTCAGTGGTTAAGCGACCCTGGGTTCAATCCCTGGTACCAAAACCAAACAAACCAAACAAACAAACAAACAAAAAACCCATTCACTGTCAGATAACTACTGGATCAAAGAGGGAGGGGACCAAAAAGGAGATCACAAGCTGGGAAGAAATGAAAAGAACCCTTTGTACCAACCGCACGCACGTGCTGTCGCAGGAGCGGGGCCTGGAGACCAGGTGTGGCAGTAGGTGCAGCAGGGTCTCCCTTGCTGAGGGATAGACGGAAAGTAAGGACATGACAAAGAAATGCTCTAAAAAGCTTGCAAAAAGTACAAAAACCGGAACCCAGGGGAATAGAGATGATGAAAGCTTAAATTTAATGAAATAGACAATAAATGGCATGAGGAAGGTATCGTCATTTAAATGGCCGTTCTTAGGGAGGATTAAAAGCAGAAATTTAATAGTCTGTATGAAACGTCTGAGCACACCTCAGCAGTCTTGCTCAGCGGAATGTCACACAGCCTTAAGGTTGTTTCAAAAGCATTTGTCAGAGGTGGAGTGATAATAATCAATACGAGCACAGCATGGTTGTCACTCTGAACGGGACCCATCCCCTCCCCCCTCAGGTTCGGTGACGATGCCCTGAAACCTGGCAGTGGAGGGGCTGGGAGCAGGGCTTCGTGGTGGAGCCCTGGCCTTGCCTGTTCCTGGCCCCGGGTTCCGTTCAGTGCTGCAAAAAACCCAAAGCAAAATCAAAAGCCAACAACAGAGACGCTCAGGGAATGCAGTCTCACTCTTGCGCATCGCAGACCGTCTTGGAAGCGCTGTCCTCAGTGCAAGAAGCCAGTCAAGAGCCTCACACTGCACAATGCCATTTTGTCCAGAACGTGATTGTTGTGTGGGGCTGGAGGGGCTGGGGAGTGACAGCGGGGTCTCTTTGTCAGGTGATAAAATATTCTAAAATTGTACTTGTGCGACACGGAGAATTTACTGAAGACCACTGAGTGTGTACTTTGGTAGGTGAATTTTATCTCATTTAAGCTGCTACAGAAAAAAAATCAGAGCGGTCATCTTGGGGGATGGAAACAGCCGTGATTTTCTTACCCTCTTTGGAGGTCTTCTAGGTTTCCAGGTGTGATTCTGTACGACTTGTAGCATGGAAACATCTAATAAACTCAAAAAAACATTTTTTAAAGGAGGAGCATGAATAATTAGGCTTTTACTAAAAACAGTGATGATGGAGCTTCGTCCAACCCACTTCTGGAGAAGGTGGGGACTGGCTCCTGTCACCCTAGGATGTGGGGATGGGGTCACCTATGCAAAGTGCCCAAGGGCCATTCTTGGTCAGGTCATGGAAAATGAAACACTGTTTGTCCTGGGTCTGCTAAGGGCAGGGTCTGGTCTCTGGGAAAGGTGGGGATGGCTAGGAGCAGTTTCTGGGGGAGTAGTCTAGGGTGCCAGGCTCCGGGAGTGCTAAATTAGAGAAAGCCATTACTTTATAGCTTCCTGTAATTGCCGGCAGTGGATGACCTGGGAGAGCCGCCCTCTCGGGTCTCTGCTGAGCAGAGGCCACAGGGCCTGGCCACCTACCCTGGGCTTCGTGTAGAGTCGGCCTTTCTCACTGAAACCGAAATGCCGTTCTAACCCGAAGACTCCTTCCTCTCTTTAGAAGATGGGGAACTCCTACGCCGGGCAGCTGAAGGCCACGCGGTTCGAGGAGGTCCTGCACAACTCCATCGAGGCCTCCCTGCGCTCCAACAACCTAGTGCCCCGGCCCGTCTTCTCCCAGCTCTACCTGGAGGCCGAGCAGCAGCTCTCCTCCCTGGAAGGTAGGAGACGCGCCTTCTTCTCTGCTGAGTTTCTGTTGTGCATTAGTATTAGCGACAGAACGTGGAGCCCCTCTTGTGCCCCGTGTACGTGGAGAGTCTAGCAGCAAAGAGCTGAAGAGAGTCGCACACGAGTTCTTGCTGGGCTAACGCTGAGATACGCTTCAGCTATAAAGTTGCAGGAATGAAATGGTTGATTGGATTGATAGGGGAAAGGGAGAGGGCTGTGCTGGACGGTTCTGAAATGGTGCGCTTATTCCCTTATTGGAGGGTTTGACAGTTCTGCTTTGATAAGCAGGGAATTTTAGCATGCAGTGGCCCTCTGCTACATGTATGTTTTTTTTTTTTTTCTCTTCGTGTTGTGTCTTTGCCAAACAATCCAGATAGTTTCTCCTTGTTACTGCAGGCTCAAGAGCCCTCTACAAACTTTCAAAAGCCAAGAAGAGACCCTTACAAATTTATTATGTGCCAAGAATAAATAAATACATATCTTTAGGCCTGGGTGACTCTAGGGTTTGCTTAGCTATCCAGGAAACAAAATGGTTGTGTTTCTGTAGTGGCACATTTTTCACGTGAGCAGCAACCCCGCAGCAACCCCAGCGTGAGACGGCTCCTGAGGCGGGGGTGGGGGGGTGGTGGGGGGGGCCGTGGATGAAAGCAGCAATGAATCAACTGACTGAACCAGAAAGCCTGCAGTGTGCCAGGGCTTGTGCTGGGTGGGACTTGGTGTGTGAGTGTGAGTTTGTGTTGGGTGAGAGAGAGACGGGTGGGCATGGGGACAGTCGCTGTGGAGGTTGCACTAAAGAAGGAGACGTCAGGTGCTCACCTTGAGGGGCCTATTGCAGGCCTTGGGTGACATCGCATAGCTGCCTCTCGGGTCACTGTGTGAAACGTGCTCAGTAAATTAACCTTGCAAATGGCACAGCTGAGGACCTAAAATGGCATGGCTAAGGACCTCAAAGAGCTGGATCTGGGGCTAGGGAAAACCTTGGACTCACAGTTCCAAACTATGAATTACAAAAACCATAAGATCTTTGTTATTCACGCAGAATCACATTCATCTGGCATGTCCTGAACTCTTACTCTGATGTCGTGGAGAAGTCTCTAGAGACCATCCTACACGCCTTGTTTTTGGCCAGCCCAAAGACCTTTGTGAATACGTATCCCGCGCTCATACTTAACCACCTGTAGTAGTGCAAAGCTTTGTTGCTGATGTTAAATTAGTAATAGCAATAGCGATCCTAATCGGTGCATTTGGATCTAGAATGCATTTGCCTCCTGAAGTATTGAGTCCCATGACCTGGGAAGAAGGAGGATGGGTTCACTGGACATTTAGAAGGAGTGCCCCAGCTCTGAAATGAAAAGGGGACAGCCCTTAGGGGTCCCTACCGGCTGTTGTTCAGGGATTTCTCCGTCTCCAGACCCTCTGTTTCTGTTCAGCATGTGGCACTTTTCAGGGACAGCTTCTCCTTCTCCTTGCAGTGCTGGGCATGGACCCCAGGGCCTTGCACAGGCTGGGCAAGTCTCTGTCACTGAGCCCCAGCCCCCAGGGACAGCCTTGAGGCTCACTTGGAGATTGGGGCTCAGCCTCCACGTTGGCATGCACCCCCCCACCTCCCTGTGCTCTCCCCTGTCAGAAGCAGAGCCTTGCTTGTTGTTCTTCCAGTGCAGGAGTCGATGAGGGGTTGGCGGTGGGGGAGACTCTTCAGCTGAATGTCATTTAGCTTCTGCAAGGTCAACCTTGGCACCAACGGGGGACGGGGCCACACGCCTTGTCTTCTTTTGTCTGTCTGTCTCTCCATCAGGGTCGCTTATCTTATTGCTGGCCTTCCTCAGACAATAGCATTAGAGATGATTTTTATGACCCGGGTGCTGGTGTTCTAAACACCCCTGGGATCGGCTGACATTTATCTGTTTGTGAGGGCGATTTAGCAGGGGCCTTATTACTTCGAATTAGGGTTCCTACCCACCACCTCTGTCTAGGGGAAAACCCTTTTTAGACATTATCCACTTTTTATAAAGAAACACTAGCAAAAGAGACACCACCAGGCACTATGGGATAAGTATTTATAAGTTAAACTGCAGGTGAGCCCCGCAGTCCCTCCCGCGTGAAATGCCGTGGGGTTTCTTCTCCCAGGAAGAACGGAATTGAGTGCAGACATTCCAGAGAATTAGCCGCCTGCTCCGTGGAGTCCGGGCGCCATGGGGCACTTGGGTCCCTGTGTTTTATTATCGCCATCCTAAGCCCTCAACCCTGTTGGTTTTGTCTGAAACCACTTTAGAGCTCATCCTGCCAGGAGCCCTCAGTAAATACGTCAGGTCTGAGGCCACTTTAGAGCTCATCCTGCCAGGAGCCTTCAGTAAACATGTCAGGTTTAGTTAGTCTGCTGAGCCGGTGGCTCCTCACCCTGTGGCTGCCAGAGGGTCCCATCAAAGGCCCTGGAATGTCTGAGGGAGAGACCTTTGACCTATAATCCTGCTTTCTCACTGACGGGATTTGGAGCTGTTTCTTTGACCCTCTTAAGACCCTCCTCTTATTCTTCCTGAGTCTGAATTCTTGCTCTCAGCCTAGCAGCCATTCCTGCGGGCGGGCGGCGCCCTCGATGTTGTTTCAGGGGAGCTGGATTAAGGCCCCCAGGATCTTCCTCCACTTCCACTCTGATGGTCAGGGGGCTCTGCCAGCTCCAAGTCGCTGGAGAGCTGGCTCAGAGACAGCGTCACATCGAAGGCCGATCCTGTGCCACCAGGTCCATGCAGGGCCTGAGCCTGGGTCTGGATCTCTATCTGCTTCTCTTGCTCTTCCAGGGCTACCCCTTGTACAGACCCCCTCCACCTGTGTCTCTGGGCCGGGAAGGACCCAGGCACCAGGAATTCTTGCTGCATTTGCTACTGAGACCTTCCCAAGTCACAACTTTCATCTGCATAAAACGTTTGGCTGCCTCTGCCTCTTGGTGCCACTGTGAGGTTATATTCCCAGACTCTGTTGTGGCCAAATCATGTCTGGACCCTTCTGTGCCGTTCTGTAGGCCACCACAACTCAAAGTATCCCTAAGTTTCATCTGGTAACCACCTCATTTTAAAGATGCAGGATCTGATGCGTAGAGAGGTTAAGTAACTGTCCTGTGGCCACACAGGCCACAGCAACCCAAGTACTGAGACTCAAGTTCCTAGGTTCCCAGTCTAATTGCTTTCTACACATGATTTCAGTTATTAGCCTAAAACCACTGGATGGATAGAGGGTCTAGAGCCAAGTAAGGGGAGACATGGTCACAAAGAAATAGCATAAAAGAGAGTCAGAGAAACAAAAGGAGAAGAAACCATATCCTCGTTTGGAATATTTAAAGGTTCATAATGACCCTCTTCCATGAAGAAGTCTGTCTGCTGTCTATTCATGGCATTGAAAATAGACATGTTGAGAGAGGTTTTTACCCAAAATGTTTCAATGAAAAGAAGTTGGAAGGGTAAACTTCAAAGGCTTAACAGTTAGTTGGCTGGTGAGGAGCGACAGCATGCTCGGGGAGCGGCAGCCCTTTCCTGAGTCTGCGTCTGCGCCAGGCTTTTCTCTGGGCGTCTGTAGTGCAGAGGGGAGTGAGCTCTGCCAGGCAGTGGTGACATTTCCATCACCAGTTCTGGGCTCTGCTGCATTCCCCCTGAAATACTATTTCATGTAAAGAGTAGAGTCTCCTAAAGCCACCGCATGCCTGGTCTTGTTCTAGAATGTTCTGGAATGCCTCTTTTCCTGCATAGGCATGTGACAAGTTTGGGTGTGTTTGCATTTCTCACGCGGTACATGAGCATTCATCCCGTGGTGATAAATAAGCTGCCCCTTCATGCCAGGTTAAGGGAGCTCACACTACTTATGTTTCCAGAGTCTAAATAAGCAGTGCGGTTTAGCAGCAAGAACACGAGCTTAGGTATCAGACACCATGGGAACACTCGGGCTGTGCTGCTTAGCTGTTAAACAGCAGTGGGCTGATCATCGGATGCCCCGAGCCTCAGTTTCCTCACTTGTAAGAAGGTCTGCATGTTCCTTCACGGTTCCTCCCACACAAGTGTTTTTGGAATGCTTACCATGTATAGCCTCTGGGCTCAGTCCTCACCAAGCAATTGCTTTCATATGAAAGCCAAGCACGTGTGCAGACGTGTGCAGCTGTGTCAGGTGGAAGAGGAGTGAACCTGAACTTTAAGCCCCAGGCCAGGCTCCGAGCCTTGTGTCTGCAGCCTGACCGTGGGTGGGGTTTCCCGTCCCTAGAAGCTTGGCTTTTCCTTCTGGTGAAGGCTCACCTGGCCCGGCTCTGAGTGTTAGTAAGGACTGGTGAGTTCTGAGGCCACCAGGATTGTTGAGTGCAGTAGGTGACACGTGGCACTCCTCGGATTAGTCCCCCAGGTCCTGTAGCGATGTGATCCCGAGGCTCCGGGGCGATGAAAGGCCCCACAGGAAGCAGCTGCCTCACACAACTTGGCCCTTCTTTCCCATGTGCAGGTGGCAGCCGCGTGGACAATGAGGAAGAAGAGGAAGAGGGGGAAGGAGGACCAGACCCCAACGGTCCCCCCAATCCCTACCAGCTGCCCCCCGCACCCGAAGGCTGCTGCACCACGGATGGTAAGGCTCTGCCTCCCCTGGACAGCACCCTGTCCACTGCCCAGAACCTGGAGCTGGGCCATACCAGGCCACAGGAGTCTCTTTGGCTACCCTGTGCCCCTGTGAGCCGTGCCTGGTCAGCCCAGGCTGCAGGACAGTGAGTCGGCTCACAGCCCCTCAGCCCAGCCTCTCCAGACAGCCTCCACCTGGAGAATGGCTGGGATCTCAGTAATCCATATTTCTGAGTTGTTTTTTCAAAGACTAGAATACATTGCCTGCTCAGGCCTGCGTGTCCAGCATACTTAACTCAGAACTGTTTAGTAGGAATCATTTTCCATGTCTGTGAGGACGTCACTGTTGAATAAGTAGACAAATGTTACCCTAGGAATTCCTAAGGTGAAATCAGCAGGGGTATTCCCATCTTGCTGCTGCAGATCTGAGGCCAGGAGATGCTGGGTGGGGTGGCATCTAGGCCCGGGGTAAAGGCTTACACTCTGCATTCGGACAGGCTTGCTACCCTCTTCTGGCTCTGCCACTCACTGTTGGACAACTTCTCTGTGACTGCATTCATCTCTACTGTCACTGTGTCAGCAAAGGGGAGTCAGTGATTACTTAATCGGCAAATGAACTATTATTGAGCCCTTGCTGTGGGAATTCAGACATAAGATCTAAGAGCTCGCTGCCGATCAGCACCACTGAGCTGATGCTGCATTGGGGGCAAGCTGCCCTGCGTGGGGGCAGAGGAAAGGTTCTGAATGCAGGTAGCGAGTCTTGGGGGGCTCCCTGGAGGAGGCAGTCCTTTATCTGGGCTTCGGAAGATTAGTAGGAGTTAGCCAGGAGATAGGGTGAAATGAAACAGAGTGTGCAGAGCTTACAGGAAGTGCAGACCATTTAGCCTGAGGGGTGGTGGGGTTGGGCTTAGAGAAGTGATCAGACCTGGTTGTGGCGGCCCCATGTAGCCAACTGGGAGCCTGGACTTGACCCGGAGCAAGGTCACCGCCAGCAGGGGCAGGCCTGGTCTCCCTCTGCAGAGCGACTCTGGGAGTGGAGAGGTCAGGATAGTGGCTGTCCATGAGTTAGGACATTGTCCTCTGGGTGACAGGAGAGGGTGATGGGCCCTCCAGGGGTCACAGGAGAGGTCTTCACAGAGTCAACTCACCTTCCGCGTGGAGGAGGGAAGCTCCCTGGCTTGGGCACAGCCTGCTCCTCTCCAGCAGGAGACCACCTTGGCGGGAAGCCCGGAGCCCTTTGAACTGCTGCATGGTCTGTGGGAAGGCCGCAGGCTCTGGGTCCTCCTGTCGGGGGGTGGTGATGGCAGCAGGAGGTTGGCCGGGGTCCCTATCCAGAGCAAGGCCCTGGAGGGCCAGGGCCAGATCAACCCCAGCTGCTTCCTCTTCTTTATTTTTGGTTCACCTAGTTTTGGAGATTCAGTTTTGAATAGGAAATAGACTTTAAGGTTCTGAAACAAAGGCTCCAAAGAGACAGAGGACAGTCTCTCTATGGCCCTGAGCCCTCTCTGTGTCCAGGCTCAGGGTTCCCTCCAACAGGAGCTGGAGAGCCCAGATCCCACTTCCTCCCAGGCCTGGCCACCCCTCACCCCGTCAAGGGCAGCAGGCAAGACTGTCCATTGCTCTCAACTGCTTATGACTTCGTCTCGTCTCCGTCTTACTTTGTCCTTATTTGCTTGAATTTCTTCCTGTTGAGCTTCACCTGCATTACATGGTGACATCTGATAGACAGTGAATTCCACCAGCGTCAGGAATAGGCACGGTCATCGTGTTGTCCTCAGAGCTGATGAATTGGGAATTCTAGCCTAGAGGGGAGGGCCGTTCCTGAGAAGACCCGCGGGGACCCCCGGCTTTGCTCCTGGTTCTGGGGTGTCCTGGGCAGTGTGTGAGCTCATCCACCCTCCCAGGGTTCTGCCAGGCCGGGAAGGACCTGCGCCTCGTCTCCATGTCCAGCGAGCCCGTCGACGTCCCCGCAGGCTTCCTGCTGGTGGGGGCCAAGTCCCCCAGCCTGCCGGACCATCTCCTGGTGTGTGCAGTTGACAAGCGGTTCTTGCCGGACGACAACGGCCACAACGCTCTGCTTGGTGAGTTCCTCTCTGCCCCTGTGTGTGGCTCTGGCGGTGTGGGGTGGGGCAGGGACCAAGGAGGCCTTGGCTGGTGGCCGCCGTGGTGGTGGAGGGCTGTCTTGGATGTCAGATGACTCTGATGATGCTTTTTGGGAGGTGATTTCTTTGTGGCCGGGATAAAAGTAGGATTTACTTAAAAATGTGACAACCTCCCTATGGGAAGGTCACCATTAAAAAAATTTTATTTTTTCTATTTGTTCTTTTTAGTCATACGTGACACTAGAATGTATTTTGACGTCGCGTCCATACACGGAATCTAACCTCCCCTTCTGGGGTTGTACGTATTCTTATATGAACCCGGGAGAGTTAGGTCCGATTCATTCCACTGTCTTTAGGGCCACCATTTAGTATCGAGTTCATCACATGTTTGTCCTTCCAGTACCCCTTGTCAGCAGTGGTCACGACCCTGTCCTTGACACTTTCAGAAACCAGCCGACAGGAGTTGGGAGACCGAAGCGGAGCTCAGGTTCTTGCCTTCAGGAGGCAGGCGTCTTGATTAGCTGCTGTCCCTCCATCGGTCCTCAGCCTTGGAAGTGGCCTTTATTGTCCCAGTTTTGTAGAACCTGGCCCCGTTCACTCACTTGCCCAGGGCACGTGGGGAAAGGAGACAAAGCCAGCCCCAAACTCACGCTTTCCTGGCTCCAGGTCCGGCCCTTACCTGCCCCCCGCCCAGGCTTGCTGGGGCAGCTCTCGTCCCGGGCTTCAATCTTTGGGATACTCCCTGGACGGTGAGCTCCTGTCTGACCTCAGTGTGGAGCTGAGGCGAGGCCTCCCCACACCTGGCTTCTGCTTGTCCATGGATGTCACTGTGCTCTCGCTGTGTGCCAGGTCCCCTCTGCTTCCTCCCTGATCCGAGGTTTGGGCTGAGACCTAGAGATCTGGGTTCTAGTCCTGAGTCTGACCACAGGTGGCCTCTGGGCCTTGTGTCCTTGTCCACGAGAGGGTGGGGGGTTTTCACATGTGTTCCTAGAGGGCCTTTGCCCGTCTGTCCTTGCCCCGCGTCCTTGGGTCTGGCCCTTCACCTGGCCGGAGTCTCCCTTGGAGGAGAGCGGAGCGTGGAAGGCTTGGTGAGGACCTATCTTCAGGTGGAGCCGCAGAGCGGTCTTCATGGTAGAAGTGAGTTTGAGCGTGGAACTTATGGGCCTCACAACTGCTCCCTTGTTTCCCACACGTATCAGCCTTTGAAACCTCTGGTTTTACGTTTGATGTGGCCCCAATGGCTGGGGAGGTCACCGTGTTTCTGAGGTGTTTACTGAGCCTGCTGTGTGGGGAGCTGTGCGAGGAGTGAAGGATGGAGAGGGAGAAGCAGGGATCACCTGGGCAGCACTCAGGAGGCAGCACCACCTGGGGACGGTGGTAGTGACAAGAGAGCTCAAGTTTCAGCTGGCCATCCTTAGCAGTCCTTTACACCAGGAATAACCTCAGGAAAGTCGCTCTACCCAAGAAGCTGATTGAACCTCGGGCTGAGTTGGCTTCCCGAGGTGGCGGGGTGCACACGTGCCGGGGAGATGGCGCCCCACCCCACCTTGGCGTTTGATGTGCTTGCGGCTGGGGATCTGTCTGCATTCCACCTCTTTGTGCTTGAGAGGATTGCCAGGGTAGTAAACCCAGGAGGTTCTGCCTCTGGAGCCGGAGGCGGGGTCTCCTGGCTCCTCCAGGGGTGGGCGAGTGCCCAGGAAGTGGATCTTTGTTAATTGCCTGCAAAAAGCCACGCAGGAGGGTCGCAAGGCTGGTGGTAATAACCCACGCTTTCCCTCTTTGGAAACCGCAGGGTTCTCAGCTTGCACACTTCCTACTGTTAGGTTTCCTGCAGTTAACCCCAAAGCTGCAAGGGGAGGGGGTCCCCAAGCCCTCAGGGCTGGTTCAGTGCTTTTTAGTGACCTATAAAACGGAGGCCGCGGTGGGACATCTAGAGGAAGCTATTGTGTCAGGAGTGTCTTGCTTTAGTGACTTTGAGTCCACCGAGGATTTTATCTGAATGCTGAAAGGTAAAATCCAGGGTGTCTTCCAGGTTTTTTCTAGTCATTCACCTAA